AAGTTAAGGGTGAAATTTAAGGAATTTTCAAACCTTTAAGCTAAGTATAAGTACTTTTCTTGAGGACTTAATTTGCTTATACTTACCATTAACCTTAAAATTTACAGTAACTACTTTTAAAAATTTGCCAGTTAAGTACCTTGGAGAGGCCACTTAACTTGTAAGTATCGAGGACAGCTTCTTGATTGCTGGAGCTTGATTGCCAGATCCAGTGCCACCATGCCAAATCCAGTGCCACTATGCCACACTGCTCATGATTGTCAACTGACATTCAACGATTGTGACACTCAGTTTTTTGTGTTGCAGTTTACGATTCAATGAGGGGAGGAGGAGCATCAGACAGTGGACAAGGATGAGGCATAGTGTGTGCAATCTCAGCTCCAATCCAGATATTCCTAGAATGCATTTACATCATTTTCATCAAGTTGAGAGACTATAGGTGAGTGTTGAGGGATCAGCAGCTGAAGAAGCAACAGCTGAGGAAGTAGCTGATGTGGAGCAGCTTGAAGATGATCCAGCGTCAAGGTAGAAAAGAGGATGCAACTGGACTTCAGTTGAAACTCATGCTTTAATTGATGTGAAGAGGAGAGTATCTTGCAAGGCAGAGCCTCTCAGCTCATGAAAAGTGTCAACCAGCTCCAGCTTGCTAACAAAGCTTGCTGAGAAAACTGGGTGTGATGGACATTGTTATAAGAGATACTGGGAGAACATTATAGATAGCTACAAGACAGCTAAGTATTACAACCACCAGACAGGAAATGCCAATTACTTCACTCTCTTATGGGATACTGTCAAGAAGCTCAAGCTACCAGCACTGGAGCAAGATCTATTTGATGCCATTGATGAGTTCTAGTCGAGCTGTGGGGCCATTCGTCTAAGAAATCTCCTTGACAAGGATGAAACAATGCTAGAATCAAGCACAGAAGAACATGTAAATACTGCAGCACCTAAGGAAGAATATAACAAAGTTGTATCTAGGAGATTAGGCAAGTGGAGGCTCTCAATCCCTCATGACTGTTTTTATAGAAGGCAATAGCATACTGGCTGAACAATTTGAAAAAGCTCACACTCTTAAGAAAGAAAAGGCTTTATCCAATGCACACTTCACACTAGCTTTTGAGAAGACGATAGATGCTATCTGCTCATACCTGAGACCATGAGAGCTTGATCAGGTACTCTATGAGAGAGGTTGCTATGTTAGGCTTAACTTGCATTTTCTAATTTGGCTTTTGCTTCATTTTATTAACATGTGCTCTAATTTAAGGTTTACTCATCAATGTCTCTCATATATCTTTATTTATGATTTTAATATTGTCCATCAATTACTCTTGAGTTTGGGCGAATATAGGCAGATTGGCTTTGACACTTCATATGTATGGTGAAATTTTTAATTATGGGATAGTTACTATTGATTAGTTATATAACTTGTATTTCTTTTGATGTTCTTAATTTTGTTAAAAAGGTGTGATTATGTAAACAACTCTACAATAGTTTATCTAAACTTTACTAATAAGTTTAATTTGTTTACTTAGGAGGGTTAGGGCTTTTAGCTTCTTACTCTATATCACCTATGGGTAAAGGCATATCATTTTTTTGGTAAGTTAGATGACTCTCATAATAGCAAGAATGATTAACTCCATCAGTCATTTCTTTATCAACAACAGTTATAAGGTGTCTAAGTGTTAATACATTTTGTGTATAGTCCCCTAACTTATTTAAGTTGGTGCAACTTATTTGTGATTTGAGAAGATTGATGTCCTTATCAATATATAGTTTAGTTTAGACCATTGTGAAGGTAATAAATCTAGAAAAATTTATGGTGTTCATTTATTGCCATAATAGTAGGAGGTAAATATTTTTGTTTATGGTAGTTGAGAAACTAATCTTTATATGTGCACTTGGCTAAAAGAGTATAAGGACAGAATTCCTAAGTGTTATTTGTTAGCTTGTATTTGCTAGTGTTTGAAACCCCCATGATATTAAGTTTAATCCCTCAATATTTCCTAAATGATAACTTACCATAAAACACTCTCACTATCATTCCCTATATATTAGTCCCATTTCAATCATATTAGCTATTTATAAAAAGTATCTATATCTATTAGTGAAATATATCTACAAAATATAGAAATTGTCCTAAACACAATGGTGTTATTCCCACATTAAAATTTGCAATATAACACCATTCTATATTAATAAGTTTTTAGATAGTGGGTAGATTTAATATGATTAACCAATATAAGATTTTGTATAACTCCCCTTTAGGTATGTCTATCTTTATTCTGCATTTAGCTTGAATCTAAACCAAAGCTTTATACCATGCTAAATAGTGAAAAATTTATATCTTCGTGTTAGGCCATTTAGATGTTAAAATAATGCCAAACTTATTTGGCTTTATTTTACATATAAGGCCACTAATATGCTTAAATAGTGCTAGATTTTGTTTGGCTTTGTTTTGCATACATATTGGTGGCCTAACACAAGGATATATTATTTCAACATATTAATAGCTTAGCACAATTATATAGGTACTCCACCAGTTAACATGGTATGAAGAGGTTTAAATTGGATGCAAAACAAGGATAAACATGCCCAATAAAGAGCTAAACAATATCTCAAGTTGGTCAGCCATGCCCGACATATATTATACATTTAGGACCCCCAATAACCCCTCTTATAAAATCACTCTCTGGTAGTCGAAAGAGTAAGTTTCTTAGACAAGCTTAAAAACTTATTAAATGTGGAATGGTGTTAGATTTCTAATCTTAATCTGGGAATAATACTATTGTGTTTAGGATAAATATTTACATTCCTTAGATATGCCTCACTAGCTATCTAAACACTTTCTATAAATAGCCAATATAATAGAAACATGACCAACATATAGGGAATGATAGGGAAAGTGTTTTAACGGATATAATAAGCTAGCATTGTGCTAATATCACATAAATGCAAGGTAACAAATAAGTTTATCTAACCAAGTTAAGTATGTTTAACTAATAGTATTTAGGAATTCTATTTTGGCCAAGTGTACATGTGAAAACCAATTTCTCAACTACCTTAGCTAAAGATTAATAACAATATCAACCACTTATTGTTGTGGTAGTATGAAAAGAATATTCAGAAGGACTTGACTTTTGATACTTGCAATCACATTTACAAGAAGTAGCATATGTTAAAGTTAGTCAACAACACAACTTCAAAATCTCAAATATTCAAAGACAAATATTGATATTTGGATGGGTTGTGGTAAAAGTTTTATATAACTTTGAAAAAGTTTTATGAGTCTATATTTAAAAACTAGTCAAGCCAATGTGTTTGATATAGTCCATAGTCACAGTGTACAAGGCTCTCATGCTTGATATCCGTGCTGTTTGGTGATACTCTTTTGTTATCTAGATTATAAACAAAAGTAGGTTAAATAAAAGTTACATCACACTAAATGTAGCAATCTAAGTTGATCAATATTGATGGTATAAAGTGCATACTCCTTAGGAACCATGATACCATTGAATTCAATTAGATAATAGTATAGAAAGTGCAAAGTGCATACTACTTAGGAATCATGATAGAACCACTTTGACCACTGAATACAATCAAGTATTTATATTATTTTGGAACTATGACATAACCACTTTGACCATTTAATTCAATCAAATACAAGTGCAAAACGTGCATACTACTTAGGAACCATGAAAAATAGTTTTGACCACTCAATTCAATTAGATGCCTGTGTAGAAAATGCATACTACTTAAGAACCATAACAAAACCTTTCTAAGACCACTAAATTCAATCAGAATAGTGCATACCATATGATAAAACCACTTTGACCACTGAATTCAACTACATACTAGTGTAGCAAATGCATACTACTTAACAACTATGATAGAACCACTTCAACATAGAAGTCAATTAAACTCAAATGCATAAGGTGCATACTACTTAGTAACCACCAGTTCAACTTAAAATGGATAATTCTTTGAATTTTCAGTGCATAAAATGCAGCCTACTTAAAACTAATTATGATGCTGACCTAAACAATAGTTCAACTAGACTTAGAACTTCACTAAGAAAGGTGAGATGTACTTACTTGACTAAAAATTGGCTACTAGTTGCTTTTTGTCATCTGTTAACTTCACTGCATACTACTTGCTGCCTCTTAGAGCCCATGATCCCTTGTGCTCTACAGCTTCTAATCAACAAGCTCTTGTAGCAAGGAAATTATTATGATGGATTCCAATCAACTAAGTGTTGAGTAATTCACTTTGCCTACTACAACAACTAATGTAGCTTGCTTTGCCACAAGCTGATCATTACTGTGGACACCTTTGATCTCCGCACATGCTTTCCCAACATATGCCACAATTTCACGGCAGATGTTGCTCTCTTGATCCAAGAATTCTATACAAATACGAATCAAGAAAAAGCACAATACTCAAAACTAAGAGAGATTAGAGACATACCTCTTGAGAACCCACCTCACAGCAGTGATCAAAAGCAATTGCTGCCTTTTTTGCCACTACTCGAAGAGTGTTTAGTGGTGGCATTCGTCCATCAGTCCTCCTCTCTTTTAGCTTTCCACTGACTAGCTGGTATAGCTCGTCATAGCGGCCGCCATAGCTATGACTTGCATTTATTTGGCTGAAGGGTCCGTGAAAACAAACGCAATGGTGTGGCTTGACGATGACGAGTTTTACTCTTCACCAGCCAAACAATGGCTGGGACAGACGAGGGGGATCTTTGTGCCGCTTCTGGTCAAACGAGATGACTTTGCTCCCGCGATCGAGGGGCTCAGGACTGGCGACTGTAAGAGGGTTGATGGGCATCTCAAGTTTGGAGAGATTGATGGGGAGATTGTTTCGCATGGGCTGCTCCGATTTTAGGTGAGTCCTGTAGTTTTGTTCTCAGACACAGGTTGAGGGAATGGCCGCACAGTGGTTATTGTAAAGAAAATAATTTCCTGTCGGTTTACGACGTCAGTGTCTTAAGCTGTATGTATCTACCTCACAAAAACACATTTGTGTAAGCTTTGCAATAAAACGTGAGGAGCAGTGTTGGAGGGGTCCAGCTCAAAAACATGCTTTGCAGCATCCTCTCCAACACCAACATCACACTGAAGCTTGCAAGCTCCAAGCAGCGCTCCCCAAGCAACCGGACATCCTGGCAAAAAGCTTATAACCTGTTGAGCCTCTGTCAGCTGGCCAGTTCTCGCCAACATATCCACAACACAACTATAGTGCTCCCTGGCTGGATCTATCCCATAGTCAAGTTGCATGCTCCACAAACACTCAAGAGCTTGATCTATCCATCCCAAATGGCTGCAAGCGACCAACAAGCTCATGAAACTTATCCGGTTTGGCCTCACTCCTTCCACTACCATTTCTTGGAAAACTTTGAGCGATTTGACACCATCTCCGGCGTGGGAATGAGCTGTGATCAAACACGTCCACGAGATGACGTCTCTGGCCTTCATTCTCTGGAAAACCTCTATGACTTTGGATAGATCTCCATGCTCAGCATGCACGGATAAGATTGCGTTCCAGGAGCTCAGTGTCTTCTCTGGGATGCTCTCAAACAGAGACTCCGATCCATCCAAATCGTGAGAGCTGTAAACGAGCACGGTTGACCAGCTAATTGTATCCCAAGAGGGCATTCGATCGAACACAGCCTTCGTTCTTTTATAATCTTCATTTTGTACCAGGACTGCCATGAGACAGTTCCAAGCTACCAGGTTCCTCTCTGGAGAATAATCAAAACATTTTTTCGCAGATTCTAGATTGGAGCTCCGGCCATGGATGGCTATTCCAAGAGTGACCGATACAACACTGTGATAAGGCATCAAAGTATGGATGTAGTTTGCTTCCTTGAGATTATAGTTGTGGTCCACGAAAGCTTGGATCAATGCTGTCCAAGACGAGTGCTCCCGTCCAGTGGAAATCGACTCGAAGGCTTCCTTGGCTTTAAACACGTCTCCACACTGCGCATAGATGCCTATCATCACACTAAAGGTGACGAGACTTTTCATTGGCATCCTTGAGAGAACTTGTAGAGAATCTCCAAGGTGACCGTTTTGAGCATATGCCGAGACCATCACATTCCATGTTACCACACTGGCGGCTGGAACTTGGTCAAATAATCGTTTTGCTTCCTCAACACGGCCATTTGATGCAAAAACTGTGATAAAAACCGTAAAAGAGATAAGGTCCCAGAATGGCATCTTCGAAAACAGTGTTCTTGCTGTATTTTCCTCCTTGTTTTGGGCATAGACTTCAAGCATTGTGTTCCAAGTGATCACGTCTCGCTCTTCGAATTTTCTGAACAAGTCTCTTGCATCATCTATACTCAAAGACTTAAGGATGGAATTACAAGTGATGAGATTACATCTTGGCATCTTCATGAAAATATCCGACGCCTCTTTGTGAAACCCATTGCGGGAGTACATAGAAACAATCGTATTCCAAGTGATCATGTCCCTGGCAGCAGTAGCACCGTGATCAAACAAGTGTTTTGCAGAAGCAAAGCTTCCTTCGCTAGCGAAAGCTTGGATCATCACATTGATGGTGACGGTGTCACGTTCTGGCATCTTCGAAAACAAGCTTTTCGCTTGATCAAAATGCCCAGTCTTCGCAAACGCTGAAATGGAAGTGTTCATGCAGAGTGTGCTGTGGCATGGCACTCGCTCGATCAACACCGCCACCTTTTCTACAACGCCTCTTTGCGCAAAAGCTTGCAAAATGCACGTCCATGTCAGTGCATCCCTCTTTGGCGATTCAAGAAACACATGCCACGCGTCATCCAGATACCCCGCTTGGGCATATGCTGACAGTTTTGTATTTGTAGAGTAGACATTGCATGGGATTATCTTCCTAAAAGCCTGTCTGGCATCGTTCATACTGCCACATTGCATGTAAGCTTTTCAGGGATGTCAAAGTCTTTGGAACTATTGAATTTCTGGCGATTTGACACCAAATAGGAGCAACACGACAAATACAAAGCGTTTATAATCAAGGAAGGGACGAGGAAGAGGAAATCCAAGAGTTTTTTACATTACACATTCTTAAAAATCAACGCCCGAGAGAATACACAATCCTATGGTTTAAACGGCAAAAGAATTTTACAAGAAGGAAAAATCGCGGGGTTACTCTACAAAGAGGCGGGCGGTGGTGGCGAGGAGGAGAGATCCATTCGTGCATTGTAGACCTTGTCTAGAATATCAATCACCTTGTGCCTCGTCCCTGGGCTCACATCCCTTCTTAGCAGCAGTAGCAATTTCCCAAACAATCCCAATCCGCCAGTCCTATCCCTCATGGCGGCGCTACTCCTCCCACTGTCCCTACACACCGCCCACAAAATCCCCACCGCATTCGCAGTCGCGGAGTCCGACACCCTCAAAATCTTCTTCACGATCGCCGGGATCGCGAGCGCGTGATCATCGACCGCCGCCCGGCCCTCGGCGCAGCCACAGAGGAGCTCCAGCACGATCAAGATGTGCTCCGCCACGCCGCCGCTGGTGTCCGGGAGGAGCTCCACCAGCGCCGCCACGGCGCCGGCGCGCGCCGCCCTAGCCCTGTTCCTCAGTGGCAAGCAAATGCCCAGCAATGCCCTGAGGCTGGAATTGACTAACACCTGGTTGCCATTCCGGCGCAGAATGGCGACGAGACCATCGATCACCCCAGCCATCGATCCGATGGCGATCTGGGCGCCCTTATCGCTGGCTAGGCCATCTAGCACCGCTATCGCGCTCATCATTCCCGGCGGGGAACCCATGCACAGAATCCACGAGATCGAACGGAGGGGCTTGGGCGAGATTAGGGCTCTTCGCGAGTTGTAACTGGCGGGAAGATAGGCGAGGATGGCGATTGCCTCTTCAATCGGCTGGAGCCACGCCTTGTCCGGAGGATCCCTCGCGTCCTGGGGATACGGAGCACTGAGAACGCCGGACAGGACGGTGACGGCGCCGGCGTCGACGATAGCTCGGCTGTTCTTGGTGCTCTCCCGCGCCTTGCTCTTGAGCTTGGAGAGGGCGTCAACATTGGCAGGGTCTCTCTGGATCCTGTCTAGCAGGAGGAGGATGTGCGGCCTGTCGATCGGGCTGGTGGAGCTCCGGAAGAGGTCGCTGGTGGTGGAATGCGATTCGCACCACTGATGGATGAGACTCCGCAGCGCGTTGTTGGGCACGAGCGAGTGATTCTGGTGGAGCGGTTGCATCGTCGCTGGGCAGCAATCCTGGCCGCGCTCGAGCCACTTGTTGATGCTGCTCCGATCGTATGTCACGCCTGTGCAAGCGGTTACGGGATCCCGCATTAGTTCCAGAGAAATTGGGCAGATAAATTCGGGTGGAGGCACTGGATGAAGATCGGTTTGATCCATCCCAGAGCGATGATCTACGAAGGAAATGCCCAGCTCGTAGGGGACTCTGTGCTACTACTATGACAATGGCTGGATTGAGTGCCTAACAGAGAAGAGAAGCGGTACCGGGAATCCACGAATTCTTCCCTCGCTCATCACGAATTCGTCCTCGCCTGGAATGGAACAGTATCCCTCGCTCGATCGATTGGCCTGTGCGAAGAGAGAAAAGAATAGAGACGCTCGAATTTGGCAATCACGAGAAGGAAAGCTCGGCGAGCGATGGAAAACGAGGAAGGGGTGGCACGCCAATAAAACACCGCTCTTCCCAGCCCTAAAGAGACAATGGGAAGCCGGCACGAAACAGAGGGAAGTGTTGACGTGGAGGCCCAACACGTGTGACGACGCCGGCCGTCCATCGGGCAGATCGACGCGAGAGATGGCGGCACGTGGTGGCCTGAAACCCCCTGTTGCGTTGACGCGTTTGCGTTCACCGACCGTAGACCGGAGCTTCGCCAATGGGGCTTCGACAGCGCATTGCCGGATAAGTACGTACGAAAGCGGATATTTTACAATTCCCTTTCTCTAGAGGTTGCTTGATATTTCTTGAACACGTATTTCTTTAAAGAATTCTCCTTTTTGTTTGGTTGCTTGATAGTTGGAAAGTTTGATCTATTCCAGTATAGGGTGGGCCGTGGACGATGGAAGGAATGGCTTGCATGTCATGAGCGCCGTGAGAAGCGCAAAGAAGTTGAGGAAAAAGAACACGAGGTGATCACCTGTATCATTGAAGATTAAAAATTATATACTTCCCAGAGATCATTCTAATGTAATCCTCTTACCTGGGAGAAGCCAGGTGTGTTGCCTTGTTTGGCACCACGCAAAGCTGAAATGCAAATCAAATTAGTCTCACGCGTGAAAGAGATTTTGCGCATATAATACACTTACACTGAGCCACCACCCGCGGGGCCAATTGCCTTGAACAGTGACACAATGCTCAGAGAGAAACCATTGGCGGCGCCTCTTTGCGCTTGTTTCTGGACAAAGCCACTTGTTTAGTATGACTGAATGGGGCGGGATATGAGACAATCGGCTTACCACTGAATTGTTGATGAGTATGAAGGAGCCCGTGAATGTGGCTTGCTGGAATCGAGCAAAATCAGAAGCAAAATCCAGGAGGAGCTTAACTTACACCCAGAATCAACTTGGTGATCGACGCGATGAGAAGTATCGCCCAGAGAGAGTTCCCGTGAAGTTTTGAGAAGAATGGATACGCCGTCAATATAGGAATTGCTACTAGCTGCAATGCAAGAGAATCTTTAGAGCGAAGAGAAAGGAACAAAAAAGTGGAGAGTCTGATAAGAGCGTGATCGCTTACTGTTGGTACTCGTGTCAACCGGATCGGCCCGAGCCACTTTGCAAAGATAGGAAACAAAGTCAATTGGAACAAAAGCATAGACAAGCCTGTGAATAAAAAGAAAGAAGTAAACAATGACGATCCAGTCTAAGTGATAGAACGCACCGGATATTGCAAGAACTTGTCCAACGTTGGAGCTCGTGAAACCAAGTCCACCGTATGATCTTCCACTCACGGCCCACAGCGAGAAGATCTAAATATTCAGAGTGATTTTAGAAAATCTCTATGATTGTCGTGAAATGTACCTCGGTGTAAGCTATGTCGTGTAGAGACCAGACACAGTAGACCATTGTGGAGGAAATAAATCCCCAGTTTCTAAAGATGGATTCGGATTGCTTCTCCTTTGTATCACTCTCCACAGCAATGTGATCCTTGCCTGTGTCCTCCTCATCAATTTCAAGAGAAGTGTGATCTTTATGAAGTGTTTCCTGACCCCCACACACAGCACAAAAGCTTTTCCGTGATCTTTTGTCCGAGAACTTGGGAAACTAAGCAACGTACCGGCAAGTAGAAGCACATAACCAGTGCTATCAATGCGAACACAAGGACGCCAAGTGCTTGCAACAAGTAAGGAAATTTCGCAAACAAGCTCCCGGATTTGAAGATGTTTGGATACTTGATCGCAGGCTGTAAGGACGAGAAAAAAAATTCACATGAGATCACGGAACTTGAGAAATTCGAGAAGTCAGTTGCCTGTGCTAGATAGCCACCCATAGCTGGTCCGATAATAAGGCCAAATCCCCACATCGTGCTAACCTGCACTAGAAACATAGAATTTCAAGGCTTTGAGAGCAAAAGTTTACGCACCATTGACATGCTTATCGTCTGATGTTGCTCGCTACAGATCTCGGAAGCGTATGCCTGTCGATAAGCACAAACGTACTTTGATTGCTTAGTCTTGAAACTTTGATAGCTCACCTTGACGGTTCCAAGCATTCCATTGAAACCTCCCAAGAGAAATCGCGTGAGCAGAGCCATCCACAAGCTCGTGCTAAGCCCAAACAAGGTGTTGAAAACCACCCTGCAAAGAGTTCAGTCATTCTTGGAAGGACTTATGTCGATCGATGCTACGTACACTGAGAGAATGCCGCAAACCATGACCTTCCTTCGACCATATCTGTCGGCTATGACGCCCCAGAGGACTCCAGTGAGCATTCGCCCAATCATCAAAGATGATCCTGGACAAGACAACAAAAGAAGTGTTAAATGTCGCTTATAGATTGAGTTTGCAGGTCAAGTTTTGGCATTTCTTCCTCAGATCTCCAACTCACCGATCCATCCAGCGTAATATCCAATGTCCTCTTTCCGCTTGGCAACGTGTAGATCTTCTATCTGCGATGGAGAATCCATTAAAAAAAACTTACACAAGCGTGGCCGGTATAGTACACTACCATGAAGTAGAGGAAGGGGTAGACTACTGCGATTGGAAGCGCTGCCATTGTTTCAAATCGAATCGAGAGAGAGAAGATTAGATTGTGAATGGAGAGAGCTTGCTTAAATCTTACCATTGGCGAGGATCACAAATCCGAGGAGAACGAGGAGCTTGAAGGGAACTGGCGCGTTCTTGTCCCGGAGATGGGCGACTCGGCATCCCGGGCACTTGGGATGGAGCGCGGATGCCCTGCCGCTGGAACCTGGGCGATGCTGGTAGTGATCGAGGAGCGGCTGCTTCTCCTCCGTCATAGCACCAAATCAAGAAAAAAACCAATCTGGATTCCTGAAGGAAAACTTTCAACCACGAGAAACTCGTGCAAGTTTGAGATTCGTACAGAAGTCGAACGAAGGGGCTGCTTTGACGGGGCAAAGAATTGAGCTTATAGCAGTAAATAGTTTGATCTTTTATTCTAAATTCAATATTGAAAGGCTAAATTTTTCATCCAAATGCTCGAATATTCATTCATGGAGATTTGTCCCAGCGGAATATTCAAGCTCACCACGGAAGGTTTTTCAAGCATGTTTTTTCCATGCGATGGTGGAAAGTAGCCAGAGCTATCAGAATAAAGAATTTTTCCCAGAAATTGCTTTGCAGAAGAGGTGAATGTTCTCTCTCTTGAGGTAATTGGAGGAGCTAAAACTGTTTCCGTTATACGTAGAGTGCTTTCAGTCAGGAAAAAGGAAGCCAAAGGATTTTAGCCAAGCACTTCTTTTAACTAGAGAGATAATTTTCTTCACTAGTATGACTTTGGGGATCTACAAAATCTCTCAAAGAATTAGAACTGATCTAACATACACCCATCGAGCAAAACACTCTCGTGAAGCCTTTTACTCATTTCGTCAAGAGAGAATACAGAATAATAGACACAGTGTCCTCGTACCTTAATATTTTAACTTTCACTAGTCTAAGATATTCAGCTTTACAAGTATGTGGCTTGAATTCCTCCAGGGATTCTCAAAAAAGTGTTGATGTGTAAAGCAAGATACCATCATGCCTTTCTTTATCGTAGTTGTCAATGTATGTCATGTTATGGGTGCATGTCAAGAGCAAGAAATAACAGTTTAACAAGATTATTAATTCATGATATAACAGTTATGCACTGAGATTCTTCATGACTCAATTAAGAGATGCATTAGAATCAAATGCCCAAGAGTGTAAGTTTGAAAAATGTATTGAATATTAGAGTATATTCATTGAATAAAAGGAACGTTTAAGTAATTTTTAATCAAATAATTTGCTTTAAATTCTGTATGCCAGTATTGAATAAAAGGAAGGTTTAAGTAATTTTATAAACCTAATGTGCTTTAAATTCTAACTTATGTGTGCCATATATCTTTAAGTATAGTGGTTCTGGTACTTAAAACATAAATAATTGATTAAATAAACCTCTAGGCAATGTACTCAACACCCAAAATGCCTACTAAATATTAATCTGAATATATGGTGTGATTCATTTAACTAATTAACAGAGTCAAACCCGATACCCCTATCAACACCCTAAATGCCCATTAAATATTAATCTCAACACATAATGTGATTTCCCTAATCCATCAATAAACCCAAAATATCTATTAAATATCAATCTCAACATGACCCCTATCAACACCCAAAATGCTTAATAGATATCAATATCAACAAATTCCCTTAGCCAATCAATACAATTTAAAATGCTTATTAAATGTCAATCTCAATATATGTTTTTCTTAGTTAGTCACAAAAGTAAAACTCAAAACTCCTTTAATACCAAATATAAATAAATGTCAATTTAGTATTATTCAAACTTAAGAAAACCCTTAAGATATTTAACTGATTAGAAAAAAAAGATGCATTCTTATTTATGAGCCCTTTTTTTCTATATTTAAACTTGTATAAATCATTTCTCAAGTAGTGTTGATATTATTGTAAAGAAGAGTCAAATCCTAGGAAAAACCAATCTTTGACAAAAAAAGGAGTAACCATACTACTTCCTTAGAGGTGGAGCATTTAGACTCTATAGAAGATAAAGCTATAACAAATTAGCATTTGCTCTACCAAGTAATAGTATTGCTATCTAGAAAAATTATTGCCTTGGCCATCTTTCCTGATGTAATATGTAAATTATGTTGTTGTTCCTTTTTTAGTGTATCACATATTTGAAAAAAAGTAAGATTCATTTTCATACTTTGTAAGGACGTAGGGATCTATTCAAATTCTTAATATCTAAAATATCATTCAATAAAGTTGCTTGTTTATCCACATTGATAATAGCTTACTTTGTTGCCATAAGATGAACCTTTATATAGTTAATGTCATTAATAATTTATCAACAAGTGAAGCACAACAGATTAACCATATATTTGAGCATTTTCCTGACAATTAAGATTATGACCTTAGCATTTGAGGTTACAATCTTGACAGTCAAAACTCAGGAAGAAGTGGTAGTTGCCACCATGTAAGAGTAATTAAGGGGGAGAGTTAGCACTTGACCCTTATCCTTATCTCTATTGTATTTCAGCCTATCACCAATGCATATCTATTTACTTAAGACTCGGAGTATTTTAGTAATGTCAAGCCTATCCTTATTCATGACCAATCACATGAGCCTTCTTAGGGATCGAAGGTCTCAAGTTAGTTTCTAATTGATTCGTGTGTTCAGTAGCTTGTTCCCAAGTGAGAAATACATTGCTAAATGCAGA